CATCCAACCAGAAATCCAGCTAGGCACTCTACGTTTATACTTTCAGCTAGCCACGCATCCAGTCAACATGCATACTCTTCAAGCCATCAATCTATCCATGCATCAAGGCATTCAACGTGCATCCACCCAACCAGAAATCTTTCAAGCTTATTTTCTAGCAGTCCATTATCGATCCATCTAACAATCTTTGTAACCATCCACCCAACCAGCCATTCATCGATCCAACCATCCGTTGTGTCAATTATTCGTCCATCCACGCATGCATTCGTCCAGTTATCCAAAGCTGCATCCATCTTTTCAGTCGTACATTCAGCGATCCATCAGTCCATTCATTCATGCGTCTGTTCATTCAGCTAGCCATTTGATTAACCTGATACTGCATTATCTGAATCGTTCCAGAGATTTTTCCATTAACGATCTAAATATATGTTATTTTTCAGGCGCAGTTTTAGCTGTAGTGGGTCCACTGGTAAGGCTTAAAATCTAGCATTAGTTTCATGTTTTATATTTCAAAAAACGGTTGAGCCTAAGATATCATTATACAAATGTATTTACGGTTGCGATTAGCAGGCATTAGCAAATGGCAATGACTTTTTTCGGGTAAACAACTAGTTAAACAAAATCAATTGGTCTGCTTACTTAATTAGTAATCAAGATCGTGGTATCAATTAGGCCTGTTTTGCATATATAACGTTCAGGCTCGCAACGTCACAAATCATGGGATCAAATCTGGTCATGCGCTGTCTTTTTTGTAGACGTAAAATTTTCCGTGGCGAAATTTATGTGCATGGCTATTGTTTGTCTGTTCGATTTTTATCGGCTTAGTTTCCACTACGCAAAAATTCAATGTCATTCAAAAACGTTCATTGTTTTCGGGCAATGGTGTAAGTAATTGATTTCCAACGAAGTTTTCGGGGCAGGGCAGTGCGAGGTAAGGAAGTCCAAAGCATGTTAACGCTAGGCAGGGAAGGCCGAGGCAGGGCAGTGCAATGACAAGCAGCGCAGCGCAGCGCAAAGCATGACAGCGATAGGTAAGACAACGCAGCTTAGCTTAAGACAGGCTGCGTCAAGACTGCAGCGCAAGGCTGGGCAGGTCAAGTCCGGACTGAAGAAAGATGGGCTGGGCAGCTAAATGCACTATGGTGCAAAGAGGGAGAGGGCGGCGCAAGCAGGGGCAAAGCAAAGCGCAAGGCAAGGAAGCCCGAGGTAGGGCAGGGCGGTGCAAGGTAAGGAGTGGCAAGGCAGCAAAGCAAGGCAACCCTAGAAAGGGCAAGAGACATTGTCAGACAAGGCAAGGCACAAAAATGAAGGTCAAGACAAGACTGGACAATGCAAAGCAAAGCAGCGCATAAAAGGATAGATAAGGGCAAGGCCGAGGAGAACAGCGCAAGGCAGGACTGCGCAAAGCCTGCAGGCGAGCCATCCAATCATCTTGCGAGCGAGCCATTCAGGTATTCATTTAGTCAAATTGGCATCCAGCCAGCCATCGATCCAAATTCGAGAATTCAAGTTTTGTAAGCAGTTCTAGATTTATCTTAATAGATAAAAAATTTTTAGGTTTGCATGTTTTTTGTTTGTATTTGTAACTTCCGAGCTCCGAAAGAATATTGAGTTTAGAATGAAAATATGAGAATACCTTTTACTTTGAGATATAGTTTTGTTTCTAAAACTTCCTAATTTTTCATCAACCAGAGGCCCGAGGCAGGGCAGTGCAATGCCAAGCAGGGAAGCGCAAGGCAAGACAGCAAAGCAAGGCCGCGAAGGGTAAGTAAGGTAAGGCAAGGATGAACGTGGCAGTGTAAGCAAGGCAGCCCTAGGAAGGGCAAGACAAGGCAAGGCACAAAAAGTTCAAGGCAAGGCTGGACAAAGCAAAGCAAAGCAGCGCATAAAGGGACAGATTAGGGTAAGGCCGGGGGGAGGGGGGACAGCGCAAGGCAAGACTGTGCAAAGCCTGCAGGCGATCCAGCCATCCATCCATCAAATCGTCCATCCTTCCTCCAAGTCATCCATCGGACCATTCATTCATCCATATAGTCCCCCAGCAGTCTATCCGACCATCCATGCATGGAAACATTCATTCATCCGTTATTTTAACCATATAGCCATCGATTTAGCTAGCCATCCATCCAACCAGAAATCCAGCTAGGCACTCTACGTTTATAATTTCAGCTAGCCACGCATCCAGTCAACATGCATACTCTTCAAGCCATCAATCTATCCATGCATCAAGGCATTCAACGTGCATCCACCCAACCAGAAATCTTTCAAGCTTATTTTCTAGCAGTCCATTATCGATCCATCTAAAAATCTTTGTAACCATCCACCCAACCAGCCATTCATCGATCCAACCATCCGTTGGGTCAATTATTCGTCCATCCACGCATGCATTCGTCCAGTTATCCAAAGCTGCATCCATCTTTTCAGTCGTACATTCAGCGATCCATCAGTCCATTCATTCATGCGTCTGTTCATTCAGCCAGCCATTTGATTATTCTGATACTGCAATTATCTGAATCGTTCCAGAGATTTTTCCATTAACGATCTAAATATATGTTATTTTTCAGGCGCAGTTTTAGCTGTAGTGGGTCCACTAGTAGGGCTTAAAATCTAGCATTAATTTCATGTTTTATATTTCAAAAAACGGTTGAGCCTAAGATATCATTATACAAATGTATTTACGGTTGCGATTAGCAGGCATTAGCAAATGGCAATGACTTTTTTCGGGTAAACAACTAGTTAAACAAAATCAATTGGTCTGCTTACTTAATTAGTAATCAAGATCGTGGTATCAATTAGGCCTGTTTTGCATATATAACGTTCAGGCTCGCAACGTCACAAATCATGGGATCAAATCTGGTCATGCGCTGTCTTTTTTGTAGACGTAAAATTTTCCTTGTGGCGAAATTTATGTGCATGGCTATTGTTTGTCTGTTCGATTTTTATCGGCTTAGTTTCCACTACGCAAAAATTCAATGTCATTCAAAAACGTTCATTGTTTTCGGGCAATGGTGTAAGTAATTGAGTTCCAACAAAGTTTTCGGCAGTGTTTTTTTCGATTGTTTTCGTTTTCTCAATTTCAAAAGAGGTAATGAGTGGCAGTATGTCTCAATTTTTTTGAATTCGTTCTTTCTGATTACAATCATAAGAAAAATGTATAAATGCCATTATTGCGGCGCGAAATTTTTTTTCGCTATTCTTCGAAAAAAAAATTTGCCATTTTTTCCATTCTTGTATTGTGAAGTTTTTTGAAAGAAAAATTTTTTTCCATAAATTTTTAAAGCTATACTTGTGGCATGTAATTTTGTATCTCAAGTGATGCGAAGCATGTGCTATGAAATTTTTCAGTAGTAATTTTTAGGTTCTTGTTTTTTTCTTCCATTATAGCTGCCTCTTACTAGAGCACTGCAAAATAACTGTGGTTGTGGTTGTAGTCTTTGGGATCCCCTAGTTTTCGAGGCTCGTAAATGTTTGTTAGTTGAAGTTGGATAGTGTCGCGAAACAATCTGGTTTACCAAAATTTTTGCTGCCTGTAACTAGCATGTATAAGATTATGACAGTTAATTGTTCTGGCTTTTGAAAAAATGCGGAGCATATACGCTTGAGGTTTTTTTATTCTCTGGTTCCTCGGGGGATCGATCTCGTGAGCTGCATGAGGCCAGCCGAGTGTTCATACCACTATAGAAAAACTTGCCGTGAGTGTGTGTAAAACTGCGTGTTTTATTAACCCGGACTAGAAAATCGTTCCAAATTAAATAAGGCAGCTAATTTGTAATAACTCCATGCACGACTCAAATTGCAACACCTAATTTTGATAATATCAGCCTAAACTTCATTTAGTTCCAAAATTTGATTTACAAAAAACTAATCGAGATAAATTAAAGGGCAGTCGGAGCATTCAGGGCTTTGCCTTGATACGAGCAGTCTTCTTACACCTTTATTGCATATGCGAACTAGAGAGTGAAATGTTATTTTGAATCCACCTTTTTCTGACCCAACTCATTTAAAATGGGAGGATTGCGCAGCCTTGGCATTTTAATAGCATGTGTTCCGGTACGCTTTTAGGGTGGCTGTTATTACTCGTTTGAAGACAATATGTCAGAGATGGTAGGATGCTATACTTGTCTCCAGGTCGGCGGTTTGGTTCCGGAAGATGTTACAATTTTTTTTTCAATTCCTATTTTTCTTCTATATGTCTTTACTTTTGCCTTTTTGAACTAGTGTTGCAGCTCTGTGTAAAGTTTAGCAACCTGTAAGAAATCTTGAGGTGAATAGTTTTTGAAGTAAAAAAATGTAATACAAATAAGACTGCTCGTATATCAGGGAAAAGCCTGACTGTCCCTTAAATCATGTCGAATAGTTTTTGGGAAAAAAAATTTGAAAACCTATACATTTTGGACGATATCAAAGTGTAAAATTTTGAGTCGTACGAAATTAATACGACCAATTAGCCTCAAATCAATTTGGAACGATTTTGTTGTGCGGGATAATTCACCACGCATGAATAGTTCGCGTTACGCTCTCAGAATTTAGAAGAAACTCTTCAAAGTGCGCATAATTTAGTCCAGAACATGGCAAATTTGGCAATTTTCAAACCCCCAGAACTTGACAAAAAATAATTAGAGATGAAAAATCTTTTTACATTTGAACCCAGGAAGTCGATATCTTCGATAGGGTATAAAAATTTTGTGTTGAAAATTTTTATTTCGATCGGTGAAAATTGACTGAATAAATTGACTGACCACACCACACCGAGCATAAATATTCAGTTTTCTTCGACAGTCGGAACAATTACTTTCCTTCACTGGATCTAGCTGTTCTTGTCTTGAGTTAGTTTTTCTTGATATGTTCAGTTTTTAACATGTATCTTGAGCAGTATCCAATGTAGCAGTCGGGCAAGGTACAAATTCTTCTCTAGAGTGGAATGGTTTTGCGTTTCATTAAGTATTCAATTATTGGTAATTAATATTGGTTTTTTGCTAATTAAGTTGTTTGTGATTTAGATCCCCAACGACTATCCTCACGAGCCGCCCAAAGTGCTCTGCACCCAAAAGATATACCATCCAAATGTTGACCTTGCTGGCAAAGTCTGTCTTAATATTCTCCGGTTGGTGATCATCATTTTTTTAAATGATCTAAGTAAACTTTGATTTAATTTGGTAACTGTTGTTCGGGAAAAAGTCTATAAGTTGTTGTTCACTCACGCTCAAATGTATTTTTTTTTGCGGCTAGGCGTTTGATTTTCTCCTAAGCTCATTTCAAATTCATGTATCAATGGAAGGCTAACTACACGAAGCCGGAGAAATGTTAGAATTTATCTATTAACATTTGATTCTGTTTTTTTTTAAGTTCAATGTTTTTGTTTTCATACCGGCTTGTTGGCTAGCTTAATACAGTTGCAGTGAAGCATCTCAAGATCTTGGACTAATGGGATTTGATGCTGACTTTATTTTGTATTGATGTTTTAGCGAGGAATGGAAACCGGTGCTCTCTGTGAACAACGTCGTCTGTGGACTACTATATTTATTTCTTGTAAGTACAGTATCACAGTTATTGCCGTATATCTGTTGCTGTATGTCTGTAGTCTTATTCGAAAATGACTGTGAAACTTTTCCTTATCTTTGAGGACTAGTTTTTTTCTCAAGTCATAGCAGAGTTATGCTGTACTAATTGCTTCATTTTGTTTTCTGAACATTTTAGTAAAATTATTTCGAATATCTCAATTATCTTTAATGTACATTGCTAACATTGATAGTTATCGTATCAGCTCGTTTTCTTATTATATAAGTTGTTAATTTTTGATAACAATCATAATAATTGTGATAACAATTGCAAATGCGAGGACAGGGGACTCTAAATCTTCTGGTCGTAGGATCGAATCCGCCACTGCTTAAGTTTTAGTTTTCAAGGCTTTTTTAATCTTCTAGTGTAATAGTTTGTAAGTTAACTATTTGCGTGTTGCATTGTGTTCAGGAACCAAATCCGGAAGATCCCTTGAACAAAGAAGCTGCCGAGTGCCTGCTGGCCAATAGGCAGACATTCGCCTCAAACGTCAAAAGAGCTATGCGGGGAGCATACTTCTCAAATGTCCAGTATGACGCAGTCATGCTCACGTAAACAACACCATTTCAGATCAACGGAGGAAATCATGGGAAACTTGAATTCACCCGAATTCGATTTGGCTTGTTTAGCATAAATTACAAATACATCAAACTCAACACACAGAATAACTCAATCGAATATGTTCAAGTTTTTGATAATGAAATTCTATAGGCAATGTTTTTAGCTAGTTTTTAACGAACCGAGTTTTCATCCTTTCAAACGGAATTTTGTAGAACTAAATTAGAGACTTTAATCTGAAAATGAAAAAATCCGGTCTTTTAGAAGACTTGTAGAAAATTTTTAGTTTTGAAAGTGTAAGTTAATATTAAGATTTCCCGTCGGAATAAAAGCTTACCACATTGATCCAATTTTCTGAGATTGGGTTAATATTATTAAAAAACGTTGCGGCCATAAATTGTTTATACTCCAAGAACTTAACCATACCTTTTTTTTCTAATAAAATTGAAAGTTGATTTTTTTGAAAAACAAGTCAGTTTTTTTCGATTTCCTTGCGTTCCGTGACTTTTTTCCAACTGTCTGATGGCCATGTATATTCATTACCAAAACATGATAAACGTTCAAATATTTTGAAGTTTTTCTCGACCTTGTTTTTTGGTCGACACAATTGTACTCCCACTTCTGCAAAAAAAAAGTTTAGTAACCGGTTGCAACACATGCTATCGCGTATAGTTTTGCCAAAGATGGCACGCGATAGCATGTGCGTTGCAACCGGTGGCTAGATTTTCTGTACCGTAAATTACTATGTTCATAGGACATTCTCCTCAAAATATGCATGGTAAAACACCGCAACAGACAAATTTTGAGCATTTAAACATTTTAAATGTCCATTTTATTCGAAATATGCTTTTCATGCTGGTTGTAATTTTTACCAACTCGATTTCAAATGTCATCTTTTCTTATATTTTTCGGTTTATAGGTTTCTGCCTATATTATATCGGTTTTGTGGCCGAATATTGCATCGTTTGAAGACCAAAGAAAGTGTTCGTGTTGCTTGTGTGTGTTTTGAGTGGGGGGGGGGGTGACGTTCAGAACTTTTTTTGTCAAGTTTAAACTTATGATTTTTTCCGGCTTAAAAGGTTTTCCTGTTATTTTCGGCCTTTTTAATTCTCGATAAATTTTCTTTCAATTCCAATTTCAAATGTTGAAGGACAGGAGGCATTAGCCTCCCTTCCCCTCCCCTCCAACTAATTCAGCTACTGATTGGAGGTCAAGTATGAATTTTAATTGTTTTGAATCCAATACATAGTCCTGAATTTAGACACCGCTTTTATGACCATTTTGCTATTTTTTGAAAATAATATCAAGATGTTTGAAAGCTTGGTTTGCAGCATGTTTCATTTGATTTTTTTGCCACCACATGAGAAAATCAGCTGAAGCGTGTGATGCTTGTTGTTTCGCTCAGCATTACAACTGAGTGTCATTTTATCATCTAAGTTTTGTCATTTTGTAGACGATTCTTAGTGTTTGCTTAACAAAAAAAATGGGGGTTCCAAAAAAATCTAAAACGCAGCACGAAGGCGTGTTATTCCGAATTTAAAATGATTCGTAATCGAAATGAGGCATACTAACTGGCTCGAATAATGTGGCAGTACTTGAAAATTTCCCTGCATTCATAAAAAAACGTGGGTTCCAAAATTAGGGAAAAAAACGTGGTTAAAAAACGTTTTCAAACTTCTTGTTTGAAAAGTTTCTTCAGTAAGCTTAGCGAGTAGTCGGAGTTTCTTGTTTGGCTGTAGAATTTATTTCTTTGGGATAGATGTAAAGATATGGACGCATTGTATCTGTTTTTTAGCTCCTGTTTTTTAACCGACTGAGAAAAATATTTCATTCTTATTTTAGACTGGCGATTTTATTTTATACCTATGAACCATCTACCAAACAAATATGAGCTATAGTATAGTATTTTGTAAGTCCGTCCAGAATTGACTGTTTAAAAACACGTCATATCAGATCATTTTCCGGCAGTTGATTTTAGGTAAGGTTTAATAAATCGATGGTAACATTTGGAAAAAGGATGACCACAGATGGTTGTCAAACTCTTTACCAGAAAAGGTTGTGGTTAATAAACATCACTCGAAAACAAAACCCCAATACTATCAAGCCAGTGCTGGTTGAAATTAACATTTTAAAATTGAAAAAAAAAAATTTAAACTGAATCAAGAGCCGGTCCTGAAACCAAATTTTCTATCAGTAAGTTGCTTAACTCTAGATAATTTACTAACCATCACTGAGTAAATAGCGAGCCCATATGATTGTGAAATGAAATTACTCAAAAAGGTTGGTTTCAATGGTGACAGGGTGAAGAAAAAATAGGGAAAATTTTTTTAGCTGAATCACAATGTTTCGTTTGAAAACTTTTTAAAAAAAAATTTCAGAAGTTTGAGTCTATTAAAACCTGGTATTTCTGGTCTTTTCTTGCGAGCTGCGGTGCTACGTGAGCACATAATTCGATAAATCTGACAAAGAAAGTACATCTTCTTTTAGAAAAAAAAAATATTTTAAGATCTATCCTAATTAAAAAACCCGACAGCTTTAGATTTACAGCTATAGTTATTTATAACAAATCTAATTACGCTTGTGATTAGCAAGCGTTAACAAATTGGAGTGAAGACTGTTTTCGGGTTAACAACTAGTTTAACAAAATCAGTTGAGTCAGTCATGGGTGGGTACTAAGTTACTTTAAACAACTGGGTGGGTGTTGATACTACAGGGTAGTTTCAGGGGGACATGAAACTTTTTAAAGTTTTGTTACAAAATCAGTTTTTTTTGGCTCAATTGGTGTCTGCTCAAAGGTTGACGACCTTGTCTCTGTTTTGCAAAATTGTTCAGTTACTAATTAAGACTAACGAACGTAGTGAGTACTCTTATATTGGTCTTGCTGATTTTTTTTTTTTCAGGAAAAAGTCAAAATTTGATCACGCTCAGTTTTGATTTTTCTCGGTTTGACTTGTGATTTCTTTTTAAGCTCAGTGCATTTCCCTTGTTAAAAGGCAGGTAAAGTCCACTATCGAACAGCAAAAGTGTAAAGGTCACGAAAACGTGATCGTGAAACGTGAACATCATAAAACAGTCTGTCAACTTCAAGACATCCAGAAGACTTTCAAAGAACACGCAGCTGCTTTACGTTTTGTTACCCCTGTGTTCTTATTCCAGTCTTTAATATTTAATGTTTGTTTGAAGTTAGGAATGTCCATACTTGAGAAAAAAACCAGTATCCTTCGGCATTTTACAGCCCTATGGTTAGAAAAAAAAATTAACGATATTCAAAGAAAAGTGATGACAAAGTTTTTGCCTTTATTCAGTATCGTGGTTCCGTTACCGACAATTTTCTGAGAAAAATTTATTCTCAAGGTGACATTCCAGTACAATTTATTCTTCGTTCTGAGAAATAATGTCAAATTATGTTCCTTTTTTGTTCCGAATTCGTGTCGTGTATAAAATAACTTGTGTGGGGTGCGACGCCCTATATCGGGCAAACTGTCCGGCATCTTACGACTCGTCTTCGCGAACATAGTTGAAAGGCTGCTCCAGTTCGACAACATTTAGAAGCTTGTAATGTTTAAAAATCAACAAATCCGTCAAGCACAAAAATTATTGAAAGCAGCAACAGTCTGTCAATTTTTTTATCATTGGAAGCTCTGAGTATTTCCCTATTACGACCATCCATCAATACTCGCGACGGGTTCAAATCGGAGGACTTGTTAGTGAGATTTCATTGATTCGAATGGGGACGCGCGTAGTTCAGTTTTGTTGCAACTTCGTTGTCGCCCACCCATAACTTTTATAAAAATTTCTTTCTGGTGCTACCATTGTGTGTAATTTTTCTGCTCTTTTTACAGTGTTCTTTTGTTTTTCAGATATGTCCTAATGAGGAGTTTCGTTACTCGAAATGCATTGACATTTTACACCATTTCGTTTTTTATGAAAACGTGATCGACTTCTAATTTCGAAAATGGAAATTAGTTATCAGATATTCCAGCGAAATAAAAGTTTTGCCTATTAATCCAGTTTTTTTTTCAAATTAGGTTAGTTTTAACAAAGTGTCCATCATAAGTTTCTCTAAATTCAAAGAGCTTTAAGGACATCTATTTTTTTCGAAATTCAAAAGTTGAAGGTTTATAAAAAAAAGTCAGTTTTTTTAGTTTCCTTGCGCTCATTACTCTTTTCCAACTGCGCGAATCTCTTCTGCATCAGCGACTATGCTCATTTTTTTAGAAGCATAAGAGCTATGATTCTCGGATATATCAACTATCTGATTTGTTGATTGTTTTTTTTGGACTTTCTTCGATAACTATCCTGCCTAATCTGATATCATAGGTTTTTTGACACAGCAGGTTGTTGGATTCTTTAGAAATTTGCTACGCCCAGTTTTTTTGAAAAGTTATGACCTTCAAACAGGTGAGAATTTTGAAATTTCGACCGTTTTAGGAAGTTTTGTGTTTTTACTCGAAAATTATCGTGCCAATTCTCAGGTTGTGTTCAATCGAAATACCCGATTGTGGGAATCTCTACTTCACCGGCCACGATCTGCTTTGGCAGATAAGGTTTGCATTTCGGAAAGTCAACGTTTTGATCTCGGACCGTTTTTTTTCAGAACTAACTTATCAAATCTGAGAAGAACAGTTCAAAAGAAAGAAGCGGTTGCGCTAATTTTTCCTGAAGAAGCGGTTACTTTTTTGTACGAGAAATGTTATGTTTTTGGGAAAATTCCAAAATCTTGAGTTTTTACTCCTCATTTAATTTAATAGAAACAACTAAGGTTTTAGTCGAAGTCTAATTTTTTTAATTACGCATTTTGTACCGCATCAGTAGAAAATTTAAAAAATATCAAGTACTTACATCCAGCTTTAGCTGGGCCTAAGGTGTCCTTCATCGATATATTCAAAAATTTTGGTTCACCTAGTTTTTTTCAACATTTTTCATTTTTTATGATTGCTTGCTTTTGCGGAAAAAAAAGTCAAAAATTAGTCAATTGAAAGCTAATTGGGACAAACTAAAAAGCAAATAGAGCCATCATATTCGGTTTTGGTGAAAGCGAAATTTTTGTTAGCGGAAAAGTTGGTGCCGAGTAAGATTTGTAACTAAAGTTTTGATAAATTTTTGTGGTTTATCTATAATTTATGATTTTGAAAACTTATTATCAGTGAAGATGGCTGGCTGTACGATATAAATAGTCATGAAA